GAGGGAAATACTTAGAGCTGGCACTCAAGAAGGAAAAACACGTGGGGGAGTGGGGAGTTCAGGCTGGAGAGAGGATGAAGGAGGCAGAGCTTCCAGTTCCACAGTGAGTGGGAAAGGGCCCTGAACTCTTCCAGTCTAGGAGGCCGGTAGGTCCTGGTGAAGCTCAAAGCCCAGCCCTGTGCAGGCTCATTTTTTCATTTGCATTTGCCTGGTGCTGCCAGAAACCCCAAGGAAGGGTGTACAGAGCCACCCTGCAAATCGTCTTGGGGTGTGAGGGTACAGCCTCAGCAATAGTGAGTAGTTGTGTGGGTTAAGGGTTCATTCAAGGATTTTCACCTGTAAAATGATGACGTAGACTCCTTAGATGATTCCTAAGATCCCTTCTGGCTCTACCATTTCATTATTTTGAGCCTTTATGAAAAACGTTTTGCAAAGCAAATGAATAGTGTAAACAAGATTATAAAGAGAATATTTGCCGTCTTAAGGGACTAAACTTTTCTAAAGCACATCAGGGACATTCATTTGCAGATAAACAGTGCAGATTCTATATAAGCAGAGGTTTGTTTTCTTAGGTTTTCAGTAAGTTAATTACAAATCACTCATCAATTTTGCTAGTCTATGTGTATTAGGAAGTAACAGAATTGTGTTCATTCTAAATATCCCATACTTTTCAAAGCCCTCATTGTTGTTCATAATATCTGCCTTTTCTCTGAATTACCCTGAATCTTCTTAAATTTTTTCTTTATCCCATAGGGTGTAAATAAGAAATGGGATTTTTTTTCCAAGAAAGATTTGGATAAATTTATCTCTGCCTATCAGATGTCATGTGAGTCCCTGCCACCTTTGGTCACCTTGCGTGGACGTGGAAACAACTATGCTGTAGCGTAGCATAGTATTAACAGATGGGAACACCTGTTCAGATACAAAGCCCTTGCCTGTACCTCTAGCACCTGTCTTGCGTTTTCTGCATTTGTTCCTTCTAGACAATGGACTGCTTCTTCTCCTCACTCCCTGTATCAATTAGACTGCGTGCAATTCCAGTAAAAATTAATATTTTACAAGTGTTTCATTGTTTTATACAACTGTATTTAAGACTCCAGGGTCATTCAGAGACAGCACCCTGCCCAGCATAACACCATCTCTCTGTGCCTCATCCCCTTCTTCTACACACTTTTTCTTCTCACCTTTGTTCTTCAAACTCCTTTATTCTCCTGACGTTCCTCCTTCTCAGGCACAGAGAACAATAGATACCTTGTCTTAAGCATAGCAGCTGACCTCCTACAGCTTGGGCATTTTCTTGATGTTTTGCTCTCCATTTTAAGTAGTTGTTGAAAATATTCCAAGTAAATTTTGTTGTGCAAGGGTGCACTCAGGACAGGGAGGTCACAGGCTCACTAAGGAGTAGAGGAGCAGGGCAACAGAGGGGCAGAGAGGGGTTTCCAGGCAGAAGAGAGCCAGTGCCAACTGGAGTTGCCCCTCAAAGCAGGCAAGTTCAAGAACCTCACATGATTCCTCTTCAGGAAATCCTAAATAGATTCCTGACAAAAAGAAGGTCCTAAGGAAAAGATGCCTTCACACCCTCAGTGACCTCTGTGTATTGTGAGAAGACATTTTTACTTTCTCCAGGAAACGATGGGAACCCAGAGAGGCCCAGAGGCACAAGTGTGATGAAACAGCAGAAATGGTTGCAAAGCTGCAGCTTGGTGACCAGTGCAGTGGGAGTGGTTTGGCCAGAGTTGCCAAGGAAATGCCCGTTTAAGAGTGAAAGAGGAGGCCAAAAGATCTGTGATTAGCTGATTGTAGACTGAGCGGGGAAGAGCAGTCAACCCAGGGGAGAAAAAACCCCATAAATTTCGACTTTAAATTAGAGAATGCAGGAAAGGAAACAAATGTTCAGTTTTGGAAAAGTAATTTAGCTTGGTTTATTACTATAATATCTTAGTAAATTAGACAAAGATCTTAAATCCCTAGAGCCAATCACTTCTCACTCAATAAGTTGCACAAGTTCAAAGTTATGGCTGTTTAGGAACGTGGTTGTAGAGAATGCCTGGAACACAGCTCTCCCTTATTTAACAGATTTTGCTCATATCACATCACATGAGCCACAGCCCAGGAGGCTTTTGCTTTTGTCAGCGTTAACATGCTATGGTCAGAAAGATTTCCTTGTGGCTGAGGATGCTCTGCTTTGTTTCCCAACTGGTTTATTGAAGAGTTTAAATTTAGCATGGAACAAATAAAACAAACTTTTCTCTCAACACTTTCTTCAAACATGCAGAAAGTGCTTTCTTTGCCCCTCTCCCCTCTGTGATAACATCTCAGTAATACTGTACACATTCTGATCATTTTTAAGAGTGGGATCATTTTCAGTGGATTTTACCAGACCATGTTAAGAGATAGATACCCGGATTGGAGCATTCCCCATCTTCTGGTCCTTTCTGAGTCTAAATGTGGCAAGGGGTGATTGTAGAAAGAGTGGAAACTTTTGTGCTTTAAGAGCTCCTGCAGATAATCCTCATCAGGCTTCTCATGAAATCATCAGATGCCCATAGATTCAACCTCCAAACAACTGGAGCTAATAGAAGTTAGATGTAGCCCCTAGTTTCCAAATGGAAACTTTTTTATTGGGACCTACATATACCCATTCCAAATGCTTCTAACTTTTTTCTAACTGCAGTTTGAAAGATCCTCAAAGAAGTATCATCTAGTGACATTTTTAAAGAAGATAACAGATGTGAAATGTGGGTCATGTGGTCATCATGTTCAGTTATAATGTCAAAAGTAAGGGAGCTATTAGTGTATAAGATGCATTTGAAATCAATTCTCCCTTTTGGATCAGATGTAAGACTCTGAGAACAAAGACTGTCCCTCACCACGAATAAAAACAATGCAATGAATTCTTTTTCCCTATGTCTTTCTTCCATTTTCTATTTAAAGAAATTTCTGAAAATACATTAATTATGCAGTTTATCTTTCAGATGAAAAAGAATTCTTTTGGATTGTATGGCTGCATAGTTATTAATAGCAGCAAAATTTTCCTTTTTTCTTTTGTATCAAATGGAATTCTGACTGAAGTATGAAGGGGCCATTCCAGCAATGATAACAGCAACTGATGACTAATTATAAAATCTATATGGAATTGAAAGGCATTTTAATTTGTCATTACTTCTATGTGCTCAGAAAGGATCTGTATAATTATGGTGACTATAAAAAGCAAGCAAGTGATATTTCTCCTCATTATGAGATTAAGCTCTTAATATACCACTTTTACTATAAGCTAAAACAAAACCAAAAAAACATCTCATCTGGCTTCCTATAAAGATGTAATCATGACTGAAAACTGCTCAGCTGCGGTTGTGTTTGTTCTTCCTACTATTACATGGAGAAGCTGTGCTTCCAGCTCATTTTAATTTGAAAAGTGTTCATCTTTGCCATTTACAAAAATGAAATTATATTTGCTTGCTCAGTGTGAACTGCCAACCTTCATGTCACATTAATTCCTGAAGATGACAGTGACTAGAATTTCCTTAGGTCATGACCGAATGATGGAAGAGACTGAATTGAGATTCTAAAACAGGATTTTTCTTTTTATAACCACTATTAAAAAGTGGCTGTAGTTACCAGGGTCACCAAGACAAAATCTGAAAGCTATTTTTGTGTATGTATATATATATATATATATATATATATATATATATATATATATATAGACATGTGGTCTCCATTTCTTTAGTCTGCATTTAAAATTCTTACACTATTCTGTGATAGCACTTTTCTTGGGAAATTAGATTTCAAGACATGCAGTTTGTTTCTAGGTGAGTGATAGAATTTCCCTTTGTCACTTGTGAATTTTCATTTATCCCAATTGCCACTGAGACATCTGGATTGTGGTGATTAGGAGCAGGGAAAGCTGTGAGCGGGTTCCAGCCTGCTCCAGCTCCTTCCCCTCCCTCCTTCCTGAGGAGCAGCATGAGCACTCACAGGGAGCCTCAGTTTAGCCAGAGCACATCAACAGCAGGCAAGAAATCCCCTGCAGGGATCATCAGTAAGCTCTTTGACCTCAGAATTTCATAGCATACTGGTTTTCAAATTGGTGTACAGATGACCGGGTTTCACCTTGGCAGATTTGTGCATGCACATAATAGTACATAGTACCTTGATCATGCTCCTGTTACCCTCCTTGCTCTGCTCTTCCCCGTGGTTTCAGGTTTTGGGGGCAACGGTATGTTTTCTCACATCCACTCCCCTGTTACTGGTGCTCACATTTCCCCTCCTGCTCCTTTTATTCCCCTTCCTTTTTTTCCCAGGGTTCAAATTCCACTCTTTAACAGCTGTAATTTAGTGAATTTAAGCCTCAATGTTCTCATCTTTAAAATGGAGAAAATGACACTTTAATGGTGGTTGTAGGAATTGAATTATGATGCAACATAAATATGCAATTCTTGACCCATAGTAAGCATAAAATTAATGGTTACATCTTCTTGCCACAGAAACTAAACTAAATATCCTTTAGAAATTAGTTATCAATGTGGTCAATATTTTTAAAGAAAAAAGCAGAAGCATTTTTCCCCAGCTACCCAACAGAAAATTCTTCATGACAGAAAATGAAGCTTACGTTAATGTGAAAGCTAAGTGCCATGTTGTTGTTCTCCACTCAAGAGGAGCTTCTACATGTAATTACACCTGCAGTTTAAAGATAGATATACATAGTGCACCATAACTCAAAATACACGTGTTATCTTGGCTTTAAGAACATTTGAAAGGAACTTAGTGTCTGGAATTATAAATTTTAGTGTAGAAATATAAATTTTCTTCTACATATGTGGTGATGGCATTGGTAATTGAATTATGTACAATACACAAATTGTTTAATACTTAGAATGTAAATTCAGCTTTATTTAAATTTGATCATTGAAGTTATGTGGGGTGAGAGTGAAGAGAGAAAGACAGAGACAGAATGTGCAATTATGAAAGATGGTAAGACTGTGTTCTCTGTCTTCTAGCCTAAAGAATAAGTAGTGAAGACACCAAGGAAGACTAAGAAAAGACGCCAGCATTTCTCTGCTGTGGAGACTGCTTATCAACCACCTGAAGAGGATCCTTTCTTGAACAATGGACATTTCTTACAAGGAGTCACAGATTAACATATGACTAATCTTGATTTTGTAAAGTGAATGATATTATTTTTCTTTTTTTAATTTTGTGGTAAGTTATGATATTTGGGTGGATTTTTTTTAAAAAAATCTATCTTCCTGATAGCATATTTAGCACATGTTCTAAATTATAATCCTGTAGCAAACAGTTGGAGCATTATTCAAACTTACAAAGAATGGAAAATGTTAATTTCCAGTTTATTCCAGATTTCTTCAGAGTATGATTATTCTGTTAAATCTTTGATAATTGTGACATTCATCGCCTCTGTCCAGGAATAAACATTCTTTTGTCATCCTGTCAATATGAACAAATCCAGAACAAATCATTATTAGTGGAAGATATATCATGAACAAATCCTAGTTCTTCACCTTCAGACATGTGTGCCAGGCTTGCCATCTAAATGACAAGAACAAGGATGATAAACGAAGGAAGAATCCTCATCCTTTCCTTCTGATCACATAAAGGACAGTTTCTCAAGATGAAACCAAGCCCTCTTTGCAAGCTGCCAAATACTAGCTTAGGAAAAGAATTAGTTTGCTTGCATGATGATCCTCTTAGTCAAAACGTCTTCACAGGAGTTGACTTTGGTAGAATCTTTTCTAAAGCCATCCAGAAGAATGATAAACCCCAGAACAAGACGGAAATAGACATTTCTTCTGAAGTTGGCCTGGACTGTGGGCCTTAATTTCAAGTATTGATGCTTCAGAACATGTGAATAAGTCCTGAAGAAATGGCAGCCTTGGGTAAGGTGAGGCCTCCTGTTTCTTCTGTTTTTCATCAGAATCTTGTTGCTGTATCCATCCCTTCCCTTTGGGAAAAGGGCCATGGATAGGATGATGGATTGAACACTGTTCCTCTGTGATAAGGAACATCTCTGAGTGCAAATCACAAAGCTTTTATCTCTAGGTTTAATTCTTCTCAGCAGTGACCACAAGTGGTGTCCTGCAAGCTGATTATAAGAAGGGACATTGAGCTTCTGTTCAAGATGCTGCCAGCAGCACTCTGGCTAGGATCTTGCTGGGCCAGCCCTTTTCACCTTGTGACCGCAGGAATGGATCTGGTGACTGGGTTTTCTGGATGTGAGTTGCTTTCCACAGAGAGCTGAGGTGGTGACACTGAAGTGAGCAGTAAGTCAATGACAGCTGCACAGTGTTGCTCTAAGATGCCAGTTCCCTGGGTCTGGAATGTGGCACTGGCCCACAAGGAGAGGCCGCTCTGGTGCGGTCAGGACTGCCAGCGTGTGTGCCTGCAATGAGACGTGTCCACACGAGGCCACCCTGTGGGGAGGAAGGAGGGTTTGATGGGGGAGAAATCTATTTTGCTGTTTTAGAAAGAAGCACACACAGAGCTGTAAACCTCTAGTGAGGTTTGTCTTTGAATGTGTAAAATAAAGCTTTATTTGTCAATTCTGCTGTAAAATAAGCACTGTCCAAGTTAAGGAAAAACATCTTTGTTTCTGTTAGTGTTTAGTGACTGAGCTCATACCCTTAAGTGTTGTGTGTTTATTTTTTTAATAACCTAATACAGAAAAGTTTATCAACTTGGATTTCTTTTGCTTTACAAAAGAAAGCCAGGCCAACCCCTTTATAGATGAGCTTCAGCTATAATAATCAGATTATTTCACAGTTTCTTATCTGAATAGCATTGCTCTTTGGTAACTGGCCAAGGGAAAGTGAATATCCTGCAAGAGATTTTGTTCAGTGGATTGTTTTTCAGTTTCTTTCTGTATTTTTGCCTATGCAGATGAGGAAAGTATCATCGCAGAGAACCATAAGGACAACATATCCAACTCTATGAAGGAAGGGCTTATAGATGTTCTTTATATTTGGGAATTCTTGGGTAGAAATATATCTATTCAGGAAACTAGCTGTTTGTTTTTCTTTTGTTGTTCACTTTGGTGTGTGTTTAATTCAGTTCTATCCCACTTTCTGGTTTCATTGTGGGTGGAATGGAGTGTGATGTAAAGCAGATGTCTTCAAATGACCAATAAACTTTGATGGTGAGGAAGGGGATCAGTGTAGACCCGTTCTGTGGTCCAGTCAGTCCTGAGGCTTTCCTAGTACAGAGGCACCTGATTAGAACAGAAGTGAATTTGAGTCAAGGGACCTTTTCCTAAAACTCTAAAATCAGGGGAATTTAGGGAGACTCTTATCCATTTAGAAGAGAGACTCTATATAGATTATGCATAGTTAAAGTATTTTTACTATTGAACAGTACTTGGAGTAATGTTAACTAAGCTAACCAAATACTGTCCATTTGAAGTTTTGTTCCAATAAATGAAATAATGATTCAAAATTAATACGTGAGCCTAATAAATTTCTTATATAGGAGTGAAACTTTTTATTTTTAAAGGAAAGTTTTTAAGTGACTGGAATAGTGTGTCTTTGGTTTTGTTCTTGTTTTTGTTGTCCTGGGTATTGAGCCCAAGGCTTCATACATGCTGGGAAGTCCTCTACTAGTGAGCTATACACCCAGCCCGAGTCTGTCTTCTTAAAGAGATAAATCACTCTTATAGTCCTCGTTATGCAATTCAAATTTACTGTACAAAAGAGTTCCTTCTCTTCAGTGCAGAGATAAGCTTCAGGCTAGCACCTGTTCTGGTAGCCACAAATGCCATGATAGTGAAACTCAAATTAATGAGCTTTCCTTATGTACAGACTCTACAGCCCAGTGAACTAATAAATGTGGTCATAAAGCAATCTGCTAAGTAGTGAGGACTACAGTGATTCCTTCTGCTGATAAAAGTAGTCATAAAATTCATCTGCTGTGGCTGGACTACAAAGACCAACAGGATTTTTCATTTGCCTCTTAGATAACATATAAACATAAATTAGATCTGCAAGAATTTTCACATCTTCCTACTGAAGTGGGTACTGTAGGCCAACCAGCTCAAAAGCAAAACACAAAATGGAAGATATATAAAAAATGTGAGTACTCCTGTGGGAAGATTGAGCCTGTGTGCTGATGAGTGGCTGCCCCATGTTTTCCAAAGCTGACCTTTTGAGGGAAACATTTAGATACGTTAGTGCGAACACAGAGTATTAGAACCCTAATAAGACAATAACCTTCCTAAACTGCCAGGTAAGAAAATACACTCTCTACATTCCATCCACCCTAAATATCCATTGTTTATGTGATCAACTTGTCCAAGAAACTGATCGCTTTTCTTTTGCAACCAGAAGAAGAAGGTCTGATCAACATTTTATTGTGGGGACTGATGTTTTTTCTTTTTCTGGTTCTTAAAAATTTTGTTTATATTAAAGGCATGCTGAACTACCTCATAGGTGTGTTGTGTGATAGCTAATTAATAAATAACAAGTGCTTCAAAATCTAATCTCTACATAAATGGTGATTTAATTTGTTTTCCAACTTCAGAGATGCATGTCACATCATGTGTCTTGGTATATCACCACATTCATGTTTACACCTTTGGCTTTAAATTTGGTATACCAAAATTAAATCAAATTTTGAGGTTCTCAACACAGACTGAGCACATCAAATTCAAGACTGGAAAAATAGCACGTGGTGAAAGAATAATGCCTAGAAGCGAAACCTAGATGCATTTGAATTCTCAAAAGAGGGAGTCAGCATTGATTGTAAAGAGTATTGCTGTAATTTTATATTATAATAGTTAAGAGGCCCAAATTTGTCAGTGACTCCTATAGCAAGATAGAGTGGGCTCAAGGTTCTACTGATGAAACTGTAGCCTTTCCTTCCTCTGCATATTAATGAAAGATAAAAGGCAGCTGTGGGAGCCACACATTTCTGATACTGCAGGAGAGCATGCGCCTCGCCTGCCTTCGCTGTGTCTTCCCAGAAAATCATCAAACACCGCCTTTGGGGTTTCTACCGTTTGAGCAGGATGCAACCTAAAGAGGAAGAAATGGAGTTACTATCTAACAGTTTCTTAGTAAGGTAACGTAAAGCCTGTATGGTAACAGGAAAAAATAATTTTACTGCTGTTTCGACTTTGAAGCCATTTTCCCCTGTAGGACTAATTATTAGCAGTTTTATTTGCTAATTTCAATTACCTCAACTTAATTAGTAATTCATTCTGACCTTTAGAAACCACATTCTTTAATCTTCAAATTAGAGGAGTGAGGGAAAATCAGCCCTTTAACTCCCATTCACAGGTTGCGCTGTTTCTGAAGGCTTCATCTGCCGATGGAACCAGGCTTTTAGATCAGCTGGAGTTCGGTCCTGGGCAGTAGCCAGACTAAGATGACTCAACTTCACAGAGATGAGATAATGAACAGTGTAGCACATGTGGCTGGTAAATTTTATTTTTTACTTAAAGAAAAGAAGGGAAATCACTCTGCAGAGTAATGGATTCCCCTACTGTGTGTCTGCTTACAACTCTTTTGAGAATGCTCTACAAGTTTTCTATGTGAATTGTTCTTCTTCATGTAACACAATGTCTGATGACTACAAGACAACCACTTACGAGCAGAGTTGTGGTCATCACATCAGTGCCAAAGGTTCTGCTTTAAGATAAATTTTTAGTGCACATTCTCCTATATTGTGAAGTTGTCTGTGTTGTTGGATGGGTGTTAATCAGCCCCCAAAACTCATGTGCTAATGATTTTCTTGTTGACAAGTTGCCGTGCTGCCGACTCCCTCCCATCAGTCCACAACTCTGGCTGTTAAGAGTTCGGGAAAAGGGGGGTATAGGCAGAAAAAAATAAAATAAAATAAGGGCCTCACTGGGCTTTCTGGATAATCCTGACTAGAAAGATTTAAAACCCTGCTAGAGAGAACAATCAACAAGACAAAGGAGTGCTGGGGATGTGGCTCTGTGGTGGAGTTCTTGCCTTATATGCACAAGACCCTGAGTTTGATCCCCAGAATCACAAAAAAAAAAAAAATTTCTGG